CACAGCATCACTGGCTCATGTGGGAATCGAACTGGTGACCCTGTTGCTCAGAGCTCGTGCTCTTAAGCCAACTCTTAACCAATTGAGCCACTCAGCCTGCCCCCCTTTTTCTTGTTTCCTTTTACTTAATTTCCATTATGTGGACACAGTATTCAATGTGTTTTCGTTCACCAGTTGATGGACTTTTGGGTTGTTTCCAGTTTTTGGCAACTATGAATAAGACTACTATGAACATCTTTGTGTACAATCTTTGTTGGGGCATGTTTACATTTCTCCTGATACTTAGGAATTGCTGGGTCCTACCCTTACGTTTTATATTTTAGTATTTTAAACCCCTAGTAGTTAATGGGGTTTAAATGAGACAATGACAGCACATGTTATTTCTGCATCCTGCTCCCAAACATGACAAACTCATTAGCAAAATTAGCTTCAGTTCTGTCTTTGACACCTCTCCGGTTGAAATCATTGGTGTATTTTCATTTCATGTTTTGTAATCTACAATTATGTATACCACTGCTTTCTATTTGATTTGATGTGCCTAACAATTCTTTTAAAATCTTAGATTTAATTATTTCACTGGAATAAACCCTTTAGGAATACTTTCAAAGTTCATGAGAATTACACTGAATCCTTGCATATTTGACAGTTATTTTGCCATCAAATTTGAATATACCTTGGGCATATAGTTCTAGTTTCACAATCCATTTCCTCACAGAATTTTGAAGATCTCAGGTGTGGTAACTGGTCTGGCTCCTCAATGTCTTGCACTTGTACCCAGAGGTAGATCTAAGTGTGGCTAAACTCTGTGTGCCCTACCCTACCCTTCAATGTTAAAGATTCCTTTATAAGAGTCTTGCTTAGAAAAGCTCTCTCTATAAGGAAAAATATGTTTTACATTTCCTTCTAATGTACTTAAATTTAACTATTTATTCTACCAGGAATTTATTTTTGCAAGTGGTATAGAGATTGGAATTTCTTGCTCTCAAAGTGGAAGGCTGATTCACAGCCATTCTTTTTTCTACTGTATTGAAATATAAAATGTACCTTTTACTAAACTCCCATGTGTCCTTTTTTTGAGGGCATAACATTTATTGAATTTCTTTTTTTTCTCTGTTAACATTCATGGTTTTTTTAGTCTAGTAACTGTTAAAGTGGTTTTCCACTGTGACTCCATGACTTTCATGTATGACTCACTCCATGGTCATAACAATATTTTTACAAAATCAAAAAAATTTCCTGATATCATTGTCACTAAATGTGAAAATCCACATGATTAGTCCTAGTCAGGTATTAGGTACTAGAGCTATAATTCACATCTGATTGCATTCTGTGTTTATTTTCTTCATTAAGTAATCTGTGGGCTTTTTAAAAAGTTAATAAATTTCATATAAAAACAGTCAGTTTCTCAATTAGATTGTCTAAATGTAGGAAATTTTATCTTTTTCTTTTTTTTTTTGTTTCAGGTGTATAGACAGTGCAATAGTTATACTTTTTACCCCTCAAAGTGACAACCCCTCTCCCCCAATCTGCTGCCCCCCCATCATAAATATCTATTACAATTCCATTGACTCCACTTCCACACTATACTCCACATCCCATGACTGTGTATATATTCAATTATAGTTGACATACAATATTATACAACATCAGCTTCAGGTGTACAGTGCAGTGATCAAGCCTCTACTTCATCCATGAAGTGGTGTCCCTAACAACACATGTGACCATCTGACACCCTACAAAATATTTACATTATTGAATATATTCCCCGAACTGTCTTTCATATCCCTGTGGCAATATTGTAGTTACCTATTTATGCTGTCTAATCCCTTCCCCTTCTCCCTCATCCCCACCCCCTCCCAACTAGCAACCATCAGTTGTTCCTCTATATCTTTGAGACTATTTCTGTTTACTTTGCTCATTCATTCCGTTTTTTAGATTCCACCTTATAAGTGAGATCAATGGAAGCAAGAATTTACATTGGAGTAAAGATAGTCTATTTAATAAATGGTGCTGGGAAAATTGGACACGTGCAAAAAAATGAAAATGGACCACCTACTTACACCATATACGAGAACAAATTCAAAATGGATTAAAGACTTAAATGTAAGACCTGAATCCATAAAACTCCTAGAAGAAAACATAGGGAGTAAATTTGCAGACATTACCCATAGTAATATTTTTATTGATATATCCCCTCAGGCAAGAGAAATAAAAGAAAAAATAAACATATGGGATTACATCAAACTTAAAGGTTTTTCACAGCAAAAAAAAACATCAAATAAAAAAAAGGCAGCCTACTGAATAGAAGAAGATACTTGCTAATGATATATCTGATAAGGGGTTAATATCCAAAATTTATAAAACACTCATTCAACTCAACACCAAAAAAACAAACAACTCAATTAAAAAATGGGCAGAGGATATGAAGAGACATTTCTCCAAAGAGGACATACAGACAACAGACATATGAAAAAATGTTCAACCTCACTAATCATTAGAGAAATGCAAATAAAAACCACGAGATACCCCCTCACCCCAGTCAGAATGGCTATCATCAATAAATCAACAAACAAGTACCGGCGAAGTTGTGGAGAAAAAGGAACCCTGGTGCACTGTTGGTGGGACTGCAGATTGGTGCAGCCATTATGGAAATCAGTATGGAGGTATCTCAAAAAACTGGAAATGGAACTACCATGTGTCTTAATTAATGTTCCATTAATCTATGTCAATGAAAAGTTCCTTGACTTACTAAATTAGACAAAAAGCAAGGTGCAGAACAATACATGAAGTATGATGCCTGACAATTTCGCAAACTTGTTGCAACAACGTTGCTAAACTTTTTTGGTATCAGAGGGACTATTCATTATGAATTTGTACCAACTGGACAGTTAATCAAGTTTACTATTTGGAAGTGCTGAAAAGGCTGCGTGAAAAAGACGACTTGAACTTTTCGCCAACAATTCATGGCTCTTGCATCATGACAAGGCACCACTTAACACGGCACTGTCACTGAGGGAGTTTTTAGTCAGGAAATAACTGTATTGGAACACACTCCATACTCACCTGATCTGGCCCCCAATGACTTCTTTCTTTACCTGAAGATAAAAGAAATATTGGAAGGAAGGCATTTGGATGACATTCAGGACATCAAGGGTGATACAGCAGCTGATGGCCATTCCAGAGTTCTTGTTGGGTCCTACGCAGCAAGAGCTATGGAGAACGAGAGGGGCGGCGCAGGGTTAAGAAAAACAAGAGTCAAGTATAGAGCTAAAGCGGGGCCAAGGGACTCAAGTTTCGTGGACTGAGACCCGAATCGGTCCAACACGTAGCTTTTATTAGGAGTCATACAAGGAAGTGAAACTTGGTTTTTCCACGGTCTGTGAGGTTTGTGCCTGACTGCTGTTTTCCCCAAAAGTCCCCATTGTGCTCCAACATGTACTGTGCCTTTACACACACGCACAACCCCAGGGGATGGAGTCACTGCTCCGAAACCATCTGACAAGGGAGAATGACCAATATCATTCCACTGGGTCTCAGCCTTCTGAGACACTCCCTTAAGGAAGCTTTACTGAAATCATTCCTTCAGGTCTCAGTGTTCTGAGACACTTCCTTATGATGTCATGGGATCGGCGCAGGGGCACAAACAGTTAGGCAGCTGTAAGGCAACAAGTTCCAAAATTGTTTTAAAGAGTGGACTAGGTGCTGCCATCAGTGCATAGCTTCCCAAGGGGAGTACTTCGAAGGTGACCATAGTGATATTCAGCAATGAGGTATGTAGCACTTTTTCTAGGATGAGTTCGCAAATTGGTGCCATTTGTAGCCAACAAAGCAAAATAAAATCCACATACACACGTTTATGTGTGTTTATGTCTGTGTATGTTACATACACAGAATAACCATTTGAAAAGTTACCATACAAATGTCAGTTATATTTAAGAAGGGTAGTGGGATAGAGCAGAGGGATTTTGCTTTATCTGTATTCGGATTTAACACGAGTGTATATGCATACATAACTATCCAAATAAAGGAAACCCCCAGGCAGGAGTCTGTTTTTCCCGGGTAGTTACTTCATTGTTCTGTTGACTGGTGTCTGTCCTTTGCTACCCAACCTTCATATTGTCACCCAGTGCCTCATATTTATATATTTCAGGTCTAACTACACAGAAAAGATCAATTCAGTCCTGATTCCAAATACCTATGGAAAAGATTCTGACAGTCCAGCTATGGGCAGGTGTCCCATTTTGGCCAATCAACCTGGGGGACAAGCAGATAACATGGCACAAAAAGATCAGAGGGGATTATCTATCTCCACTTTACCCTTCACAAAGATGAAGTTCAACTAAGTAACTTCTCTATGGTCACATAATTTTTAAAGGACGGTAGCAGAAGCCGAGATTTTGAATAAAGGACCTCAAAGCTCATGCATCATATATCAATCCTTAAAGATAAGTTAGCTTGGAACAAACCTAGGTCAGCAGGTTCAGATGTTCTTAAGCATCTGAAAAGGAGTTAGACCTATGTCTGTAAATGTTAGACCTAGGACTATTTAGAGAGAAGGGTTTTCCCTCAGTTAAGGAAGGTGGGGGGGGAACACCACTCTATAGAATTTGTCCATATATAGTTTATCACAAGTTCTCTTTCACAGAGGTATTTAAAGCTATGCTATATGACTAAATGAACCTATGCTATACGCATATATATTATTAAGCTCAGAAATATAGGCCAGTGTCAAGTTTATTTCAAAGTGTCATATTTTGTGCCACTCATACAAAATATGAGAAGAACAAACTAAAGAATTAAGGTAAAAATTAAGGTAAATTTTTAGTTAAGTAGATTGATAAATTTTCAAACGTAAATAACCATTAAGCATACACTTAGTTTAAGTGTTGAAAGCTTCAAGTCAAATCCCACTATAATATTTTGAAGGCAAGGTTCAAAATTATTCACTGTGGTTAAACTATTTCATATTTGTTGAAATAAATGTCATTGAAACATCATTATGTAGACATTTTAATTTATTGTAATCATAATAGGTACAGTTTAAAAACTAAAAATCCTATTGTCTACAACACAAGAAGACAATAAATAGAAGATAGGTGGTATTATACAAGTGGAATATATGAACGTAAATAGGGCTATGTATGTGATTTTCAACCACATTCATATTACACAGTTTTTAAATTACCTAATCTCTTACAATGACCAATTACTTACTAGAAACAGTAGAGCTGGTAGAGGATATATGCCATTTAAGTATCAGTTCAAAGGTATAAAAAACCAATTTTATTGGTAGTACTTGTGTGTGTGGTGAGAAGAGAACTATTCACAATACATAACTATCATGTTTCAGGGGACGATTTAACAATGAAGTTTTTATATTGCAAAACAAGTTTAAGTATTTGTTATTTTAGAAATATCACTGAAACTAGAATGACATTTATTAACTATATTCAAGGAACATAGTAAACTACTTGATAAAATTTACCTATCTTAGAGAAAATCTTAGTCTGTTGAGATAAATAATGTAGGATTTAGCTTTCAGAAACACAGAAGGCAATACCTGCTATAATGTCAACGTTAGTAAAATATTGGGTTGTCAGAAAAGTCATGACGTATTTTTTCTGTTTTTCGTTGCAAAAATGCATCATGACTTTTCAGACAACCCAATAGCTTACTGCCATGAATACTTAGGTAATTGGCCAACTCCTGACCTAAGAGGCATACAAAGTCACAATAAACAAAACACCCCAGGAATAATAAAAACCTCATTCCTTATCATAGCTTCATTTCTATTCTGTTGTTTCAGGCTCCATATACATCTGGCACAGTGCTGCATTAGGGCGGCATATAAAAGCATCAGTTTCACCTCCCAACTCTGTTAACTGTTCCAATGAAGACACACAAGGATAATGATCTTTTAACATATTTGGCAACTCAGAAATCTTGTCTTGAAGGCGTCGAGAACGTCTAACAGGTGTTAGAAACTTCAGCTCTTTAAATGTAGAGTTTATTTCATCAACCTGCATCTTCTTTTTTACACTAAAAATCCACAAAATTATTCCCAGAGTTAAAACACATGTCAACATTTTTACTTTGATGCTATTTATCATACTAAACTTGTATATTACAACCATGTGATTGCTTATCATATAGAGAGGTACTGCAAGCTCTTTGAAATAAAGAACTTATTCTTTTTTCTATTTTTGTTATAACTTATACACAGTAGATACTTGAACATCTGTAGAATTGGCTAATTGGTGAATTCCAAAACCTACTGTTATCAATATTACACAATCAGAGATTAAATAAAGTGATGTAAAAGTTTTCTTTTTCAAAATGGCAATACTTACAGAAAAGCAAAGCAAATGCAGCATTTAAAAGATGAAATGTCCCAATAATATTCATTTGAAACCTTTCTATTAACAAATACTAGTTCTAATCAGGAGCTATCTTAAAGATTTAAAAATACCATATTTATTATCCTTAAGCATAAAAACAAATCACAGCACATTACATTTTAAAAGCTTACCTTTGTAAGTATGGTGTAGTAGATACATTATATTTAATTAAACAACTCTCTCTAGTTTCTGTATGGAGAGTTTTAACATCATTGGCTGGATCTTTTGTTTTGTCATTTTGCTCCTTTTCACCATCTTGAAATACCACATTTCTATGGTGTTTATTTTCCATTTCTGGTTTTCCTGACTCTAGTTTAACATCAGTATCTTCAATGTTGACTTCTTGGATTTGTTCCTTGGTTGCACAAGCCTCTTCAAAATTTTCTCCTATATAAATATGTATATATATTGAGCTTTTGGTCAAATTTAAAGAACAAAATCAGACTATATTAAAGTTATTCATAGTGGGCCAGATTTTCAAATTAAAACAGCTAAGCCATCTTCTAACCATTACTTTTCCTAAGCAAATACTGCTGACAACTATTTAACAAATATTTACTAACTCCTATGTATCAGGGATTATAGATACAAATATAAGAATGAAATAATTCCTGTCCTTTGAGAAGGTCACATTCCATGGAAGAGACATGCTTGAAAATAATTAATTATAAAACTAGGTAAAGGCTATAATTGAGGTAAGAACCCATAAGAAGGAATAACTAACTTTGCTTGTGAGACAGGAAGATGACTAGAGAAGGCTTCGTTAGTGACATTTATGCTGGATCTTGAAAAATGAATACTTGATAAGACCAAGGAAGACAATCTTGGCATGAAGCTTAAAAGAAAATGATCTATTAAGACAACATTAAAGGTCCAGTGTGCTTAAGATATAGGGTAAGGAACAAGGTAAGAATGTGGGAAGGAGGTAATGAGTTCAGATATGTGGTATGATAAAAAAATATGGTGAATGCTGCTGCCGAGTGCCATCCAATGGAAAGGCAGGAATCTTCAACAGGAGAAGTGGCACCTCAAACCTTAGTAACAGTGTGTGCCAAGTTTCAAGTTGTTTGGTGCAATCAGTCGGGTGTGAGCTACGGATGAGAGAAGGTGTGTTTCAAAGTGTGCGGTAAATCATCCTCAACGTTCCGTGTCACACATCGCTTCTGGCACGGCACTTTCTGTCAAATAAAAATATTGCGGTGTGTCCTCATCCACCTTATTCACCGGATCTGGCACCATGCGACTTCTGGCTCTTCCTCAAAGTCAAGATGATTCAGGAAATTGAGGCAGCCTTGACTGTGCAACTAAAGATACTCTTGAAAGAGGACTTCCAGAACTGCTTCAGAAAGTGGCAAGAACGATGGGATAAGTGTGTTTGAAGCAAGAGGGAGTATTTTGAGGGAGATTAATGGAAATGTGTCTTTTACTGTAATAACTTTTTCTTATTTAAACATTCTGGGTTTGTTTGTTTGTTTGTTTGTTTGTTTGTTTTTAGTCACACCTCAAAAAGGTAGGAAGGGGCTAGTTTGTAATGAACTAAGGTTCATTATATGCAAGAAGTTTGGTAAAAAAAATCTGCTGGAGAGACAGAGATATAATTAGATTTGGTCACTAAAAAGGATGGTTTGAAATAGTAGGGAATGAAAACTAATAATCTGTGATGGTAAGAATACAAAGCTGTTTTAACAATCTAAGCAAGGTGGCAGAAGTAAGTGATGGAAGGAAAAGCCTGATTTAAGAGTTATTTCTGAGTTAGGAATTCATAAACAAATGAATGCATGTGTATGTCTGAATGAGTGTATGTATTAGGGTCATCTCTTCAAAAATTTCTTGCTTAGGAATTTTTAATCACAGAGGAGGATTTTTTTCTTTTTCCTTTTAGTTTTTGGGAGGAAGAGATGGTATGGGGAAGCAGTGAGGAAGACAAAGAGTTCAAAATAAAACATGTGAGATGTGAAATACTTGTGAGACATCTGGTAAATCCATCAAGCTGAAAAGACCTCTAGATTTGATTATTAAAAAATTATTAGAGATTCTTACTAAGAGACATTTCAGTTACATGATAAAGTGAATGTGGTTCTTTTAGTGAGAAGAAGTTGAAGTGAGAATATGGATCCTTTAATTCAACAAATATCTAAGTGCCTAATATATGGCAGGCATTGCATTAACACTGAGGAAACAATGGTGAGATCAGTTATTGTCCTTGTCAATCCGACAACTCAATACATTATTTCATTCAATGGTCCCAACAATTTTGAGGAAGATATTCACATTATCTCATTTTACAGATAAGGAAGCGGTTAAATTTCTTGCAAAACTTCACAGTAATTGGCACAACCTACATTTGAATCTAGAAAATGTTTACATTTTATATACCTGACAACTAATGAATCTCTTACCTCCTCTCAATCTATTATTCCTAGCAAAGAGAATTCCTAAATGAGCTTCTCTTCAGCATAAAACAGATGACAGCATTTAATATGTAAAAAGTCTTTAGAGATCATCTAAGTCAAACTGCCTCATCTTTAAGGCAGGAAATAAAGGCCTACATAGGTAACTTTCAGACACTCAATGACAAATTTAGGTTTTGAATGAGACCTCCTAATTAAAAATCCTTCATATTACACAAAGCCACTGAAACTCAGAGGTATGTCAACAGAAATATGAGGATTGATCAATCTACATATTTAAAAAGTTAAAAATAATAAAAGAAAAATAACTCAGCAAAGAAATTTAATAAAATCACAATTCACTTGAAAGAAACAAGTTACTAACTTACCCAAATTAACTTTTTCTTGACTCTTCATTGTTAGAATATCTACAATTACATGTCGCATCTCTTCAATAGGCTTGAATTTTTAAATGAAGAAAGCAGACCCATATTAGTATTATATTCTCAGACACTATGTTGTCCAAGTTGAAAATGTTAAAACCAGTGATTAAATTTCATATTTTAAAACAAGGCAATGGTTCTTAGATACTCATTTGCCACTCAAACTGAAACAATGGCTGCCTTTTCCAATTTATAAAATAAAAATGAACTTAAGAGATAGCATTTCATCAGCTTAAAAATTTTTCCCATAATTTTTCTTATGCCTTTGGTAACTATTATTGCTGGCTTGCTATGAACAAAATTAGTGAACAAGTAACAACTTAACATTATTAATATCTATTAAAAAGCTGATTAAAGTTTACTTTAAATTTATATTAAGTTTACTCCTTTTCTCCTACATTCAAGAACATGGTTGTATTATTGTTTAGCATGGTAGTAAATGCTTGAGGTTCAAAAATTCTACAGTTCACTAAGTGTCCATTATATGCCAGATATTATGAGCACTTCCTGTGTTCTTTTGAACTACCATGTCTGCTAATGCAACATATTCAAGATATTATATAAAAGGAATGCTCTGGCTCATATTTTTAGTTCTAGAACTTAGTCTTGAATTCCTCAATCACCCATCCTGCTTTCAATTTTCTTGGCTAATTTTGATCCTTGTTTTCCAATTTCTGCTGTACTCTTCTGCTTTCTATGTGAACCCTTAGCTTTAGTGATGCATCCTAGTTATACTGCTGTAAGCCGCCTTAAGTAATACCCCTTCTGGTTTGGTTCAGTGTAGTAGGGACCTAATACTCCCTTTCAGAAGGGATTCTGTCAAATACAATTATTCTTCTGCAAAGTGTTTTACACATAATAGCCACTGAGAGACTATCTACTGAATCTTTGATTTCTGATTCAGGTGAAAGGTCAAATAGCATTTGTTGGCTTTGCTGAGACTACTAAGAGTAGACCTTTCTTAAGAAAAAGTCTAAAAAGATAATTTTAAAAAAAGTCTTTGTAAACAATCTCCAAGAATGAGTTTTTCAGAAACTTGGTCAAAAGGAAATACATTTTAGGGACATTTTCCCATAAAAACAAACAAACAAAAAACTAACCTAAAACCCTCAAGATACAATTTATTCTATACCCAGGGCTTTATGTAGTAATAGCAGTAAGCGATGAGAGGTATGGTATCGAATCACTATGGTGGTAGAAATGTCAGAGAAACTAGTTTATTACCATTTTCTATATGTGAGCAGGACCAAACATACAGCATATAAATCTGAGTGCAGTAAGATACCTTCCTAAAGTGAAAGACAGTTCTCTTACAAAGCCATCAGAGCTTGCTAATATTTAAAAAGTTAATTTAATTCCATTTGCATTATATTCAATAAATAAATTTTAATATTAAAAATTCAATTTCCCAGCAGATTTCTCAACTAGAAAATGTGTAAAATGACATATTGTGCTAAAATATTTCTCCCAGGAAAGTTTCACTAAATGTATGTTTCAGCTTACAGTTTACCAATTTTCTAAGGTCTGATTATCCCTAATTTTATTTAAGAGGTTGAGAAACAGTCTTTATAATATGTAATCCTTGTCACCTTTAAACATTCACTATGACATATATTTCTACAATTTTATTTAGTTATTTTGTGATGTGTTCCAAATCATTCTGAATCATTTACACTGTAATTAATAAAGATCAGTAAGTTGTAATCTCACCTGAGCTCCTGCCAGAATGGCCTTCTCATAGATTGCAATAATATTTTCAATAGGACTTGTGAGTGGTTCAATTCGTGCAAGGCATATCCAATATTTAACAAGCTTTTTGGCATCTGGAATATTTGTAATCAGGTCATTCAGCGTGTCCAATATTTCTTCTTTTGGGCATCCCTAAAATATCAAGGAATGTTATCTTTTAGCCTAGAAAGTATGAGTAATTAAGTAAGCTTACTATAATCAAGATCAGTGACAGAAAAAGCTGACAGAAAATTATTCATAAACACATTCACTATTATCTTCCTTACTCCAAACTTATTTTGAGTGGCTAGCAAGAAGCATATCAGTCCTAAGTAAAAAGCACGTGCACATGCACACACACACAAAATACACTAGTTGAGAAAAATATTAATAATAATAAAAAAGACTATCAGACTAACACTATTTGGTCTTGATGTTTATCCTCTTACATACTGTGGGATTCCATTTGTTAATACTTTATTTAGGATTTTTTGTATCTGCCAAATGTTTATGATGAAAATAACGTGCAGGGTTTTTCTTAAAATTGCTTTGTCAGGTTTTGATAGTAAGGTTAAAATGAATCTGTAATGATTTATGTAAGTAAGAGTTATATATATTGGGTTGTCAGAAAAGTTATGATGCATTTTTGCAACGAAAAACATAGAAAAAATATGTCATGACTTCTAACAACCCAATAATTAAGCAGTAGGGCAGAAAAATTACAGTTTCAATAAAAAACCCCAGCTGAGCAAAAATAATAGAATCAGCGTTCCCCTAATTGTAATTTCACTGGTCCTCAGAACTTCAAAAAGTTTAGAGATGCTCCTGAGACTAGAGTAAGGTTTGAAATCATATTCTGTATACTCTGTCTTGCTCTGAATCTTAGACAGTAGTGTGTGACCAAAGCAAGATTAAAGAGTAGTGAGGAAATAAATCTGGAGTTAATAATTATATTATAGTCTGTTGGATTCTGGTCCAAATAGTAGAACTCTACAATATGTTCAAGACCATGATGATGTTGTTAGAAATAGAATTTTTGTTTGCAAATATTTTAATTAACTTGAAATTAATCTGTGATAATGACTCAGCTAATGTGTATTGCTAGTCTTTGGTAAATTATTAACATCTTAGAGGAATACAATATTTATAACTCAGGTAAAAAATCTATCCCTTTGACATATTTATATAAACTCAATGAAAATACAGTCCATTAAAGATTAAAGAGAAATAATTTCACAATTATCAATAAGTTTACGTAACACCACTAACACATTACTTGGTCAAAAAAGATTAATATAATTTAATGAGATAATTTTATAAAGGTGACTTACAAACTATAAACTACTATACAAATATAAGACAGAGACTCTACCTCATTAACTAGGTTAAGGCATTCAGAAACTGTCTTGTTTATTTTTTCTGTAAATAATCTTTGTTCATCTTCTTCTGCCATGGTAGTCCAAAAGGACCCGACTGGTTTTTCCTTTTGTCCTTCAGGTTCAGCGTGGGTAACTACTGAGGTAGGAGGCCTTTTTAGCACTCTTCCTTTGCCAGCTTTCCATTCACTCAGACGAGCTCTACAGTTAGAAACAGTATATAAACATTACTGTGATATTGCTGATAGCACTGTCAAATAGAGGAAAAGTTAAAAAATATTTCAGGTCTTTAAGTAGTTCCATGTTAGTGGCACATACATAGTTCACAAATATGAAGAAAAAAATTAAACATATCAATGTTAATTACATGCTTAAAGACCCAAGAATGAATTTTTAAATAGAGAGGTTATAAAATATTTCCCAATTTTATTAATCATTTTAACTTATGTTACCTAAAACAACCTAATAAAACACACTCAAGCACAGTAACTTAGGCCATACTATTCCACCACATAAATTTGCTTAAATTTGTCTGCATATGACAGAGGAGAATCCTCACAAAAAAATCCTAATACATTCAAGGAAATTATAAACCAAATTCACAAACGGTACGATATCAAAAATTAAGGCAATTAAATTACATCTACTTACTTTCTCTCTTCTGCAGTTTCTTTGTGGTGAGCAGATCTACTATCGATAGTTGCTTTTGCGATAGTATGTCTGCGCTGGTCCACGGTTTTTGACTTTTCTGTCAGTTTGGTATTAGAAGAGGAAGCAAGCCTGGCTGTAATTCCCGATGTGATGCTTCTTGATAGTGTCTTATTTACTTCCTCAGAAGAACTGGTTTTGACATTAGATACAACTGAATTTAATTGTAGTAATTCTTTATCACGAGGCCCTTTCCGAACTGTAACATTGGCAGAGGTTCTACTGATGCCTCGGTTCATGGAGTCCTGGGTATTATTGTAGTGACTTCTAATAGGAGGACGCAACAATTGTCTGTTCTGAGATGTAGTGCTCACAAATTTAGTGGTAGTCATCGTATTTGAGGCTCTATCACTTTTCACTGTTACACTGCTCGTGTTTATAGGCTGAGGCTTTGTGGCTTTAGAGATAGCAGTTGAAAGTTTCTTTGTTGTTGCAGAATTCTCTTCTTTGACTTGTATAGGTTTTCTAAATGAATTAACCTTAGACTGAACAATTTGACCACGATAAGATCCAAGCACAGGTTTCTTGATCATGTTAGCATCTTGCTTTGGTTTTTCGGTAGTCATTTGTTTCTTTTTATCATTGTTTTTAATGTGAAATGCTTGGCTTAATGTCATACGTTGATTTTGGGGCTTATCTTTATTTGGTAAAAACTGCAGAGTTTGATTATTATTCTCCAAATTATGTGTGTCAATTGCTATAGTTGAATTGGTTAATTCGTTAGAAGGTTTTAAAGGAATATATTTTTTTTCAACTGTTAAATTATTTTTGCTCTTTGTAGGTCTACTGATGTTTTCTTTATCAGCCTAAAAGAGTTAAGACAAATCAGTATTTCAGAACTCATTTCTTACAGAAAGAGTTTAGGAAAGGGAAAAAAAAGGACAGTTTATAAGACTATGTCCATATCTTACCATTTTTGTCTTAAGTTTCAGAACTTTTGTTTCTTCTTGGACTTGACCCTCAGATGTCATCATTCTCTGGTCTCTACTACTTAAAAAAAATAATAATACATTTTTTTTAACCCCATACCAAGGTTTCCTTTTGGGGGTAAGAGATAGAAGAATAATAACAGTTACCTGACTTCATAATTTTAAATTGAGGAAATAACTGAGAGATTTATTTCTCCTAACCAAAACTTTTCTTAATGTAGAGTGATCAAATGTTATAAACAAGATGGCTGAGGAATTTAAAGATATATTCTTAAAAGTCTTAACACCCTACCCCCACAGAATATATAAATACTTGATAATCTCATTCTAAGCCATTTTGTTCTAGTCATTCAAACAAGTCTTCAAAACCTTTATTAAGCAATACTTTCTTTGGTTAGTTTTAGTTTTAAGTACTCAGTAACAGAATTACATTGAAAATAATTTTAAAATACTCTTCGCAAAAGAAATCCAAAATTCTCCACTCACACACTTATAGCTTAATCTATTAATAGGGACTTTAGTTTCTAGATGGCACTGCATTGAGAATATATATCCAAAGAAAATCCGTCTTCAAGAATTTGACTTAAACTCCTTTTTATAAATACAGACTGGTTAGTACAGGCTGTGAGAATCTCTTAGCAAGTGAAGAAAGGGAAAAACAGGGTCAATTAGATGCCATTGATTCTAAGACAGAGCCCTAGTTCAGAGATGTTAAAATGTGAAAAAAGTGTACATTTAGTCAACAAAATAATTTTGGTTATATCGCCTTTCACATCTATTCGCTTAGCCTGCTTGGAGACGGGACATAGCTTGCACTACACACTTTGAATGATCGCAGCGAAGGGTCAAAATGTGCCATTAAACAGGGTATCTTGGTAACTATCTTCTGAGTGTAGGTGCTTTCCATTCCTCCCAGGCATTGTCAGTCATCCAGAGCATAGCAATGTCTCCCCAGTTTAAGCTCCTGCATTCATTACCTGATGGCAAATACTCCCCTTGTTATTCCCTGGCCAGCTGTCTGGTGTGGGGTGGGAGATGATGCTCAGAGTCAACCTGCCAGGTTGCTCCCAATGTGGTACCTTCACTAATCAGATCCCATACTGATCACAGTCTTTTACTTCTGGGCTTACAGTATACTGTGATGTTGTCTCACTGAGAAAATAAGAAGCAGTTTTAACAAGAATTAGCCTATCTTTCCTCCACCAAAGACTACCAGCCTATCTGACTCTGCACCCATATACTCTGCCTTCCCTCCTGTCTAATGTATGAACTGACACATGCTGACCTAAGGTCAAACTCTCCATTTGTGCTCTCCCTCTTGCCTACTCAGGGACTTTCTTCCTGTGATTATTTGCTCATTCTTCTGCATCATTAATTTGTCCCTCTACTAGGTCATCCCACCAGCGTATAAACACTACATATTATATCTCATCTTAAAGTCTTAAACCTCACATTCCCTTTCAGCTACTTCATTTCTTTTCTTTATAGCAAAACTCCTCAAAAAGAGATATCTATATGTACTGTCTCTATGCTATCACATTCCATTCTCTTCTCAGTTATGCCTATCAGAAATTTGTCCCCACCACTCTACTGAAATTCCTAATGTCATCCACTTCAATTGTTTCTACATTCAACTCATGGTCAAGTCCGTCTTCGTCTTACTGAATGAACCTTTCAATAGCACTTGATACAGGTAGTCATTCTTTCTTCACTTTGCTACTGGATTATCAGTTCTACTTTCCCTTCTACCTCAGTAGTCCACTTCTTTTATAAGTCTCTCTTCTTCCTAACCTCGCTGGGGCTCAAGGCCACATTCAAATTTTAAACTTTTCTTCTGCCTTTTTTATTTCAGTTTTGTACTTCTGAGGGACTCCTCTTTTTCTGTCAGTGATGACATAATTCTAGTGCTTAGTCTTCAAATTGCTGGTCTTTCTAACTGCTGCTAAAAAATTCTCAGGATGAACAGAAACAGAACCTTAGACACAGAAAACAAACTGGTGGTTGCCAGAGGGGAGAGGAGTGGGGAGACAGGCGAAATTCGTGGAAGGGGATTAAGAGGTACAAACTTCTAGTCATAAAATAAATCACAGGGAATATAGTCAATAATACTGTAGTAACTTTGTATGGTGACAGATAGTAACTAGACTTATTGTGATCATTTCATAATGTATAAAAATATCATATTATGTTGTATACCTAAACTAATACAGTATTGTATGTCAACTATAACTCAATTTTTTTAAAAAAGGAAAAAATAAATAAAATGATTAAACCTTAAAAAAAAAAACTCAGGATAATAATAAGAATCCCCCTTATTCACCTGTCCGGTATGAAAATATATAATCCATAAATGAAAATATATAATCCTATTTTCTTATGATCAAATTGCCCTAAGAAGTGTTATCTGAACAAAGGAGTCTTAAAATACCCACAATAGAAAATAAAAAGTAAAATAGAACTGTTTAATTTTGAAAAGATGCAACTCTGATTGGTTGTCTATTTCATAATTTGTAGCTCAAGCAATAATATTTGAATTGACATGTTTCCTGAAAGGAGTAAAAATAGTACTTGTGAGGTTTCTTGGTAAAACCAAAAGTTTTAGAATTTTCTTTTCTTTTGATTATAAGAGTATTATATACCCCATGACCCCAATGGATTCCTTATTTCAGTAGTTGAGACTTACTGTCTTATTTGAATTAATAGTCTCTTTACCTATTCTCTAACAATCTCATTTCACTCCTAGGTGTTAAATAAACATCATCCACACACTGACAATTCCCAGGTTTATATCTCCAGAGCCAATCTCAAACCCTGACACATAACTATTTGGCACCTCCACTTGGATGCCTTATTGGCATACCTCAAACTCAACATGCTCATGGTCAAAGCAGAATTCCTAACTCCCCCACTCCTCCTTCAGTATTCCCCATCTTAATATATAATATCACTATCCACTCAGTTATTCAAATAAAAAGTCCAAGACCATTTTTTTGGTTTGTTTTAAGCAAAGAACTGTGGGATTTGTGAAAAATATTTATTCTAAAGTAAAGCAATTTATTAAAGTTAAAATTTAAAAAACAAAAAACAAAACATTTTGTTTGGAAATAATACCAGACTTATAAAGTGGCAAAAGTATAACTAGTTCAAAGAATGTTCATGTACTCTTTATCCAAATTTGAGGATAGTTAACATTTTATCCCACTTGTGTTATCATTTGCATTCTTTCTAAGCATGTGTATATAATTTTTTACCTGAACTTTTCACATTGTTATATACATGGCCTTTTATCCCTAAATACTTCAGTGTTTATTTCCTAAAAATATGGATTTTCTCTTATATAACCACAATATCAAATTCACAAATTTACCTTGATATACCACTTTAATCTACTGTTCATATTCTAATTGAAAACTGACCCAATAATGTCCTTTACAACATTTCCCCTTCTGCTACAGGGTCAGGTGCTGAATTTAGTTGTCACATCTCTTTAGTCTCTTTTCATCTGGAACATTCAGGATCACCTTTAACTCCATTCTTTCTTTTACATACCATACCTAATCTATCACCAAGTCCTGTCAACTCTCCCTTCTAAACATAAGCAGAATCTGACCACTTTCAAACCACGGGAAGGGTATGAAGCATTCATAATGAAAACACATATCAATAAGTACCTAATGCAAACTACAAATTAAAATGAGACCTTTTTTTTTAAACCCATGAGGATGACAATGATGTTGGGAGAAAATTAGGGAAACAAGGAGAATAAAGCAAGAACCAGTCCACTGTGTGTAAAGCCACTGAGATCGTGAAATGATCTGTTGCTTATTGGGCTCTCACTATATTCCAGTCATAGTACCATGCATTCCCTATCTCATTTAATCCCCAAGAAAAACAACTATTACTACCCCATTTTAATATAAATAGACTCAAAGAGGCTGTGTAACTCGCCTGAGTTTACACAGTTGTAGTGGCAGACTTACATATTCCAGCCCAGACCCATATTACTTTAAATTAAAGCCCATGCTCCTAGATTGCACAGAAAGAGCCTGAAAGGATGTTAACTAGCAGTTACCACAAGAGAGTGAGGGGACCTTTTGATGTTCTGCATTATATCCTTTCATGGGTTTTTGTCTTAGTCACAACCATGTACTATTTTTAAATTAACAAAACACTACAAATATATTCCTATGGAAGGCTGAGACTAACACAAATGATTTCCATTTAGGAGGGCCACCTCCCAAAGAACAACTCCCCTCCAACACACACACATTCACTCACTCACTCTGACTAAAACCTTGCTAAATTATAGAAAGACTGGCCTTTGTAGCACTGTATAAACCATAAAAGTATTTTAGTAAATGTACACAACTTTGGATTAATATTAACTGTTTCTTCTTAGAGTGCGAGTTAATTTACAAAGGAAATTATGATCTAACGCTCTGCCATCTGTTAAGGTAGCCAGTAAGCCACATCATGCTATTGAGCACTTAAAATGTGGCTAGATTCAAATTGAGCTGTGCTGAAAATATAAAATACACACCAGATTTTGAAAACAGTGCCAAAAACAAATGTAAATAATTTTTTTAAGTATTACATGTTGAAATGATAATGGGATATGTTGAATTAAATGTTATTCAAATTCATTTCATATTAAAAACCTTTCTAAATGTGGCTACTAGAAAATTTTAAATTATACATGTAGCTCATAAGACATTTTTAATTGGGGAATTGGGGGGATGGGAACAGTGCTGGGGAATTGGGGGAAGGGGAACAGACAAGTTGCTGTCATTTTGTTCTTCAGTCTAGTTGTGGAGGATGTTGCTTCACTGGCCCAAGTTGGCACCATCATTGCGCTCTTCTCTGGCGAGGCAGATCAGTCGCCGGCTTCTGGACGGCCGCTCACTGCAGCTACTGGCTGCTCAAGCTGGCTACTGGCTACACACGGCAGCTTATGGCAGCCCACTGCCACAGGGGCTACAGCCTACGCAGTAGCCAGCGACTCCCAGCAGCCCAGCTCCAGGCAGCATCTCAGCTGCAGAGGGCCGAGTCACTGGCCCTCACATGTGGGATCCGAACAGAGGCCCTCTGGCGCCCCAAGCCAGTTCCCAACCATCGCGCCACTCGGCCGGCCCTCATAAGACATTTTTATTGGACAGTTCTGATATAATTTTACAGATCTGAAATTTTAAAAAAATTGACCTCACCTGGATAATATCTGATTTTCCTGTTTGTACGCAAAAGAAGTTTTTCTTTTGAGCAGATAGATGTTCCTTGAGTTTTTGTTTTGTTTCTTCTAAATAACAAAAGAGCTACAAGTCTACATTAGTTACAACAATAACATTAATTATTGACTCAGTGAAGATTTTATTTCGAAAAATGTTCTACTTATGATCACATCTTGCATATAACAGAACATTTCCCAATTCAGTATTGCCTTTGAGAAATAATCCCATTTTTAAGACTGTTACCATAAGAGGTCCTCACAACCACTTTGCACAAGAATCACATCATCTAAATTGAAACATCTGGAGAACATCATTTTCAACATACAGTTACTGAAAGCGGAGCTTCAGGAAACCAAATAAATGGTAGGGATGAGACACTAGACGCCAAGTTGTCTAATTTACCAGAACTGAATTGGGTAAGAATTTCTTTGTTCTGTTTTCCCACGTGTAGGCCAAAGAAATAACAATATTACTTCTGAAGACCTAGCCAACTAGATTTCTATAATGTCTATAATGTCTAAGGCATTAAATTGGGAGCATCAGCTGAGACAAGACCACCCCTCCAGAAATTCGCTCTCGACTCGGGAGGCGGGGCTGCCCCGCGCAGGCGCAATCGGCTCTCAGCTTGGACGCAGCCGGGCCCCCGCGAGTCGGTTCCCGAGCCCCACAGGCGCCCCCTCACTATTACGGAATCCCTGAAATTAGGCCTGTCTCCACCGCGAGTGGGCCACACCGGCCAGAAACAACCGCACGCGAGGCGCTCAACCCGCACGCTACCACCGCGGATCGGGCTACACTCTATCAAGAACGCAGCTACGAAAAGCCTAGTGACTCGTTAAGGGTCTCCACAACTGGTCAGGGTTGAAACTGTTCTGCGGACCCAAGGCCCTGAAGGCTGAGCCGCAGTCACCCCTCCAACCCCACAACCTCCCTCCGCCCCGGTCTCCTCCTCAGGAAAACCACCCGCCCGCCGGCTCGCGCCGATCCCGCTAACGCCGCCCTCACCTTTGAACATGGGATGGGCCCTCCGACTTGGGGGCAGTAGTTGGTTGTGTGGCACCGTTTGGATGCTAAGTGCGGGGCAGGGAGTTGCGCCTGGGTTTAGACCGCTTCGCAATCCCTCGGAGTCCCGTAGCACTGTGCTCGCCGCCAGGGGCTCGGCTTTTAGACGGCGCGGCTGCCGCCTCTTCCCATTGGTGCCGGCGTGAATTGAATGGGCCAATGGGCGCAGGGGGCGGAGCCTGGGTTACGGTTGCCGGGGTGGGTATGGTGTTTGCCGTTTTCAGCTGGTGCAGCTTTGGTCTGATCCTAAGATTTCAAAGCAAAACAAGACTCTTCGTCCTGGACTTGTAAGTTGGTAGGAGTTGGCCTGCGAAGTCTTTGCCCTGTAGCAGATAGGGCAGATAGGACTTGACTTTAGACGCTCACACTCCATTGAGGAAGGCAGACGGGAAAAGTGGTGTTTGGCTGCGCTTCTTATTAAACATGGGCGTGTTCACTGAGGAGGAGGAAGAGGATATAGGTACAGACTACCATACCGACAGCACCAGTACATCCCTTTCACAAATATTACTTCATTGCCACATCAGAGCTCTGAAGTGGGACATTATCATCTCCTGTTTCACAGATAAGGGGCAGACTTAGAAGTTACTTGTCCACGTTTGCATAGCTTGCAAGAGGGAGCTGAAATTAGGGTGTAATTTCTTTTGTACTACACAATTAGCACATGCAAAAAAGAGGAGACAAGGAGAAAGGAAAAAAATGAGGATAGACCCGTCTCTTATAATCTGCCTGTGAAGATTAAAATAGCATTTGTTGTAGACATTTTGTGTGTGCGTTTCAAAGACAAAATAATTCAGAACTAGAAAGGGGTGGGAGTGGCAGGGAGCTAGCGAGAGTCCTGGACTGTGCCTTTCTGGTTTTATGCTCTGGGTTCATAGCATTTCTCTGCCTTGCTTCATCATTGCATTAAGGCTGCACTGGACTGTTTCAGACAGGTATTATGTATGGAGACAGAGATGGGAGAATGCAATTTCTATCTCCCCTGCCCAGGTGTGAGGGCCTCCACAGCTGGCTCTCGGGCATGGTTAGTGTTTCTTGTCTTTCTCTGCTTTTTTCTTTCTTTTTTAAAGATTTTAATGACAATATATCTAACATACAATATTACATTATTATCAGGTGTACACAATAGTTATTCAACATTTATATACTTAAAGAAGTGATCCCTGAAAGTTCAGCAACTATCTGACACTGTAACATGCTCTCAAAATATTATTGACTATATTCCCTATGCTGTACATTACATCCCCATGACTTATTTGTTTTATACCTGGAAATCTGAAACTCATATTCCCATTCACCTTTAACCCCCTTTTAAAATTTTTCAATTATAGTTGATATTCAATATTATTTTATATTAATTTCAGGTGTATAGCATAGTGGTTATATAATTTAAGCATGTAATTTAAGACGTGATCCCTCTAACTAGTCTAGTACCCAGCTGGCACTACACATAGTTATTACCATATTATTGACTGTATTCCCTATGCTTTGCTGTACATCCCCATGACTATTTTGTAACTACCAATCTGTACTTCTTAATGCCTTCACCTTTTTCACCCTGCCCCCCACCCCCTCCCATCTATCACCTCAATACATCTAGTACCCATCTGACATTATACGTAGTTATTACAATATTATTGACTATATTCCTTATACTATAACTTACATCCACATGACTACTTTGTAACATCCAATTTGTACTTCTTAATCCCTTCCCATTTTTCACCCACCCTGAAAACCCCTCCCGTCTGACAACCATCAAATGCTCTCTGTATCTATGAGTTTATTTCAGTTTTGTTTATTTCTTTTGTTCTTTAGATTCCACTTATAAGCGAAATCACATTGCATCTGTCTTTCTCTGTCGTACTTCACTCAGCACAATACCCTCCAGGACTATCCACGCTGCCGTAGATGGTAAGAACCCATTCCCTTCCCTGGCCAAGCAATATTACTTTGTATATATGTATACAACCTACTCTTTATCCATTCATCCATTGATGAACACCAGGCTGCCACCACATCTTGGCCATTATAAACAATGCTGCAATGAACATATGGATGCACATGTCCCATCAAAGTAACATTTTGGGTTTCTTCAGATAAATACCCAGAAGTGGGATTACTGGGTCCTTCTTTGTCTCATTATAGCCTTTGTTTTAAAGTCCATTTTGTCTGGCATAAGTAGTGCTACCCCAGATATTTTGTTTGTTTGTTTCCATTTTCATGGCATATCTTTTTCCCATACCTTTACTTTTAGTCTGTTTGTGCCTTTCAATGTGAAGTCTCTTGTAGATAACATATGTAAGGGTCCTGTTTTCTCATCTATTCAGCCACCCTATCTTTTGACTGGAGCATTCAATCCATTTACATTTGAAGTAATTATTGATAGATATGTATTGGGTTGTCAGAAAAGTCATGACATATTTGCAACAAAAAACAGAAAAAATATATCATGACTTTTCCAACAACCCAATAGTTACAGCCATTTTATTATTCATATTTTTTATTTACTTTTTATTTTTGTATTTTTTTGTCTTAAAGAAGTCCCTCTAAGATTCCTTGTAATACTGGTTTGGTGGTGATGAACTCCTTTAGGTTTTTCTTGTCTGGGAAGCTCTTTATCTGTTCTTCGAGTCTAAATGATAACTTTGCTGGGTAGAGTAATCTTGGTTGTAGGTCCTTGCTTTTCATCACTTTTGACTATTTCATGCCAATCCCATCTGGCCTGCGAAGTTTCTGTTGAGAAGTCAGCTGACAATCTTATAGGAGCTCCCTTATAGTTAACTAACTGCTTTTCTTTCTTTCTTTTTTTTTTTAAAGATTTTATTGGGGAATTGTGGGAGGGGAACAGTGTTGGGGAATCAGGGAAGGGGAACAGACAAGTTGCTGTCCTTTTGTTCTTCAGTCTAGTTGTGGAGGATGTCGCTTCACTGGCCCATGTTGGTATTATCATTGTGTTCTTCCCGGGTGAGGCAGATAGGTCGCTGGGCCCTGGACAGCCGCTCATGGAGCCTTTGGCAGCTCACGCTGGCTGCCAGCCACTCACGGTAGCTTTACAGCAGCCCACTGCAGCTCCACTGCAGCCTATACCATCCCCAGCCACTCATGGCAGCCCAGCTCCAGGTCGAGCTGTTGTTCACCATCTTAGCTGTAGAGGGCGCAGCTTCACTGGCCCTCATGTGGGATCCGAACCGGGGCCCTGCTGCTCAGAGATAGCATCCCAAGCTAAATCTTAACCCATGCGCCACTTGGCCCGCCCCCTCTATTGCTGCTTTTAAGATTCTTTCTTTGTCTTTAACCTTTGGCAATTTAATTATGTCTTTAACCTTTGGCATCTTTAATTTAAAGATGATTTGGATTCATCTTGTTTGGGACTCTCTGCACTTCCTGGGCTTGTATATTTATTTCCTTTGCCAGGTTAGGGAAGTTTTCAGTCATTATTTCTTCAAATACGTTTTCAATTCCTTATTCTCTCTCTCCTCCTTCTGGTACCCCTATGATGTGAATGTTGGGACTCTTGATGTTGTCCAAGAGGCCCCTTAAACTCTCCTTAGTTTTTTGAATTCTTATTTCTTTTTGCTGTTCTGATTGGCTGTGTTCTACTACCTTATCCTCTAAATCGCTGATTCGGTCCTCTGTTTCATCTAATCTGTTGATTTCCTCTAATGTATTCTTCATTTCAGTTGTTGTATTCTTTATTTCTGACTGGTCCTTTTTATGTTTGCTATCTCCATTTTTTATGTTTTCTATCTCTTTGTTAAAGTTCTCCCTGAGATCACTGAGCGTTCTTATAACCAGTATTTTGAACTCTGTGTCTGGCAGATTGATTGTCTCCATTTTGTTTAGTTATTTTTTTTCCTGAGCTTTGTTCGGTTCTTTGATTGATGTCTCTTTGTCTCCCCATTTTGACTACCTCCCTGTGTTTGTTTCTATGTATTAGGTAGGTTTCTATGTATGTATATTTCCCGGTCTCAGTAGAGTGGCCTTATGTAGTAGGTGTGCTGTGGGACTCATTGGTGCAGTCTTGGTCACCTGAGCTAGGTACTCCAGATGTGTCCCTTTTGTGGATTGTGTGTGCCCTCCTGTTGTAGTTGATCTTTGGTTGTTGTTTGCACATCATTCAGAGGGATTGGTCCTCAGGCTGATTGGCTGTGAGGACTGGCCCTGACTATGGTGGAGGACTTTGTGCAGGGGCTGATCCTACAGAGCAGGATTCCCTTTAGCAGGGCTTTGGGACCTGTTCAGTGTGCCCTTTGGGTGTGTCATCCTTGGAGGTGGTCAGATGATGTTCCTACTTGCCCAAAAGCTGGCCCCTAGGCATGCCAGCCCCGGGGCCTCCTGGGAGGGGACCCACTGCAGGTCAACTTCAGCCATAGCCTGTGCCCTGTCCTGAGTCACCTGGCATGAGCCACAAAGCAATCTGCAGATGGCTGCCACCCACACTGGGCTTGGAGGTCCCTTGAGAGGCCAAGCCATGAACTGAGGCTGCCTGCTGCTAGTGCTGGGCTTAGGGCTGCTCAGCCAGAGGTACGGGACATGCCAAAGCCAGATGCTGCTTATTTGGGTTTAGTGAACCTTTGAGAGATTTTAGGAAAGTATGTAGAATGATCCAGGACAGGCCGTTTATAAGGAAAAGCCACTGGAAGAGTCCTTCAGTGAATAAGTCCACGCATGAGCTCTTTAAGAGGAGCGTCTGGGATTGAAGCCACCTTCCAGCTCACTCAGCCAGAATCTCCACTGGTTTTCACAGCCAGAAGTTATGGGGACTTCTCTCTCTGGCACTGGAACCTTGAACTGGTGAGCCTGGTGTGGGGCTGGGACCTCCTCACTCCTCCAGGGGGGACCTCCACAGCCCAGATATCCTTCCCGGTTTTTAATGGTCACATACAGGTGTCACATACCAGCCTGTTCCATGTCTCTGCTCCTCCTACCAGTCTTGAGGTAGCTTCTTCTGTATGTACTTAGTTGTCTCTCTGCTTTTTTCTTCAGGCATCTTACGTTGCTAACTAGGAAATTAGTCTGGGATATTCTGTAGTTTTTTTCTTGATGAAATACACTATTTTTAGTGTAACTGCCTATACTCAAGGCCAACTCTGGGAGAACCAACAGCCAAACAATGCTTAT